TAGGAACTAACTTTTCGTTATCATGAAATTTTGATTGTAGCGGAACTTTGCTACAATGTTTTATAATTCAATTGTTTGTTTATTGGATTTCTTTATTTATTTATTTGTGAGGGTTTTCTGTTTGTTTATTTGAAACAGTGAAGTAAGGATATCAGGGATTTCAGTCTGTGATGTTTTTGTTCATATTTGCATAGTTTCTAAACAACATTAATTTAAAATCTTAATAACGTTAGTGCATAAACACAAAAGAGTCATTCAAGCTAGGTTTTTATAACTCTTAAAGTATTGTTGTTGTTGTTTTTTTTATTGGTCTATTTTATAGCAGTGATAGAGAGATTTCAGGGATTTTGATCTGCAATAACTATAATGAACAAAAAACGTGCGAACTTTGTAAAAATGCGCAGATTTCTTTTGTTTACATTGACACTGCTTGTAAACAAGTTTGTACAAACTATGCTAATGTGATATAAATATATATATATATATATATATATATATATATATATATATATATATATATATGTGTGCAGGATGAATTGATGAGACTATACAACAATTCAATAAGTAAGTAATTATATAAGTATACAACAAATATCAAAAACATTGATCGTTTTTGTTTTATTAGCATAGTCAAAGTTTTTCTCACGTGTAGCATAAGTTCTTTGGGTGGGTCGGAGGCGGTAGACAGTGAATCCTTCATTGCAGGTTATATAATCCGTGTAGTTGAAGTTTGAGTTACATGTGAATAAGTTGTAATCCGTGATGTTGCCAGTGGCGTAATTCTGGGCATGTGCGCAGGAAGTGACCACCTGGTCTCCTCCAACACCAACGAAGCGGTACCATCCCTCCTTCAGGTTAATGTCAGTGTTATTACAAAAGGTGGAGCAAAAGCCAACATTCCGCCAAGGCTCGGATTTGTTTGTGTAACTTTTACAATAAGCTGAGGGACAAGACATAAAAATATGTTCTATTAATGTAGCTAAATGACAAGTGTGGAAAAGAAATATTGTATTTGAGATTAAATTCTGTATCATGGTTGGTTGGAAGGTTATCGTTTTACTATATCGTTTCTATAGTTACAGATCATTCGCTTGAACAGCAAAGCTCCAGTTAAATATATATATATATATATATATATAATATATATATTTAAATCCACACAATCGCCGATAGTGTTTTATTCCTTACTTCATAACTCATAACAAATTCAAAAACTCCCATTTTTCTACATCATGATAGGAATAGTACAAATCCTTCACTAATGATAAATTCAATTTGATTTAATGGATAATGGAATTTTTTAGTCAAATGAGTTCTAAAAACTTTCTTGTAATTTACATGACTACAAGTCAAAATTATTTGTGTGACTTTATTTTCATGAGCAACCTAAATGAAGGATGAATGAATGAATAATAATAATAATAATAATTTAAACATAGGTAGTGGGTAGTGGGTAATATGGCAATAGCCTAAAAGTAGCTAAAATGCTACTTTAAAACTAAAGGAAGAATAATAATTATATGTATAATATATATATATATATATATATATATATATATATATATATATATATATATATATATATATATAGATAGATAGATAGATAGATAGATAGATAGATAGATAGATAGATAGATAGATAGATAGATAGATAGATAGATAGATAGATAGATGGATAGATAGATTTATTAAACTTACGGTCTTGAGCAGTTCCGACGTTTGCATGTACAGTCAGTAGAATCATGGCAATCCCTGTTAAAGTAAAACAAACAAAATCCTGATATATTGCTGATAAATTAAATGCTATGCTATGTCTTTTCTTCGTACAGATTTAGTTTCGAATGAAGAATAAAGAGTGGACACTCACATGACCAAAAACAGCTCATCTTTCTCCTTCCTGCTCTGTTCTTATGCACCTGTATGGTGGGACTGTGATGGTGGACAAGCTCAGGTCTGTCCAACCGAACAATTGTGATAACATCATCAGCACAAAGACCAATAAGAGAGCAGCACTAGCTGGGTGTGGTCTCTCTCTCTCTCTCTCTCTCTGGGTTTTGGTCATGGTGACAGCAAGATGTTTAGCGCAAATGTTTATGAGTTTCTATGTCAATGTTGTATCAATAACTTTCCACTGAAATAAACAAACAAACAATGGCTCTTATCATTAGCCACTGTTGGCAGGAAGAACTCTGCATATATTCCAGGAAATTCATACTATAGGCAAATGTTGTGGTTGTGATGTTGGGCCTCTTTCTCTGTGCATGTGTGTCTTTGGATTAACACCTGTATCTCTGTGTAGTCGAGTCACCATTTTCCTTACATCTGCAAATATAAGCCTACTTTCTTATGCACAGACCATTCATGGCTAAACTGAGGTGTTTAAAGCATGACTGTGATACTCTAGACATAAATCTGTGCCAACTATAATAACAGTTTCTTCCATCTTCCATTAAATCTAATAAACATTATGTTTAACAGTTGATGGTGAGCCTTCACTAACTGAACTAATTGAATACTTACTTGCAAATGATTTTCAATTCTTAAAATACTCACACCAGTGCTCCTTACTGGTGCAAAACAAAATTGTTCACCCTAAAAAAAATAGAATTATATGCAGCTCACAGGTTGAAATTATGATGACGCCACAGCCGTTCGTGGCAGAGAATAAAGACAGAAACATTGGCTGTGTTCTCTGGGTGGCAGGAGCATACTCTGTCAATCATAGCATGTGTGGAAGATGGCTGATAGCGCTTTTTTCTGAATCAGATAACATCCGATAAGGGTCTAAGGGGCCTCTGACACAGAAAGTTTCCTCTGACAAAGTTTCACTGCTCAGATGAAAAACATCACCTCAATGTCTGAGGCCATGGTCCTCTCATGGAAATGGATGGGATTCTACAGGCAGGTGAGGGAGAGACATGGGGAAGGAATTTAAGTACCTGAGGATCTTATTAATGAATGATGGAATGTTAGAGTGACAAATGGATCATGTCAGCTGCAGTGGTGTTACACTCGATATACTAGCTTGTGCGGTGAACAGGAGCTCGGTTTGCAGACAATTAATCTATGTCCCTGTCCTCATCTGCAGTCACAAGCTGGGGGTAATGACTGAAAGAAAAGGGTCACAAACATTGTATATAAGGGTTCTCTGCATGGTTTCTGGCCTTATGCTTTATTATAGGTTGGGGAGCTTGACAATCTGGGAGAATCTCAGAGTAGAGCTGCTGCTCCTCTGGTTTGAGAGGATTGAGGTGATTGAGGTGGTTTGGGGATTTTGGAAGGATGTTGCTGGTCAGCTCGCAGTAGAGCTGTATCAGGCATGTCCTACTGGATGGACACCCTGGGGCAGACCCTGGGCCTAAGAAGGTGATACAAACTGTAGCAGTGAATGGAGATGTCTGGACTGACCTTCTCAGCCAGATAGGTAGAGTTATCTTCTAGAGCTATTAGATACATGTTTTGCTTGTGTTTATGCTCACTTCCTGAAACTATCCTGTATGTTAAAGTATTTTATTCAAAATTACTGAAGCATTTTTTTTCCTGAGCTCTGTGGGGCTTCCTGCTAATGAGTGTAGACACAAGGGACCCAATAAAATGGCAACTCAGTGACATTATCGATGATTATAAATGATTAACATTATTGTGGATGGAATTACTGTGAATGAGCTGACTTGCTGTTCATGTTTCCCACCCGGTTCTCTGGGAACTCAGCTTTTACATGCTGGAGCTCTCTCCTAGCTCCCCAGCACATCAGTACCATGGATTCAACAAAACAAGTCAAAAAAGACAATGCTTTAGGAAGTCAATCACTTTGATTTGTTACTGGTCAGTCAAGTCAGTCACATTTATTTCTAAAGCACATTTAAAAACAACAACAGTTGACCAAAGTGGTGTACAGTTGAACGAAATAAAAAATAACACATAACAATACAAGGAAGAATACTACATTTAGACAGATTCAAAAGCTAAAAGAATGAGTTGGGTTTTGAGATGTGATTCAAAAACCAAAAGAGTTGGTGAAGACTAAATTGGCAATTTATTCCAAAGTCTAGGTCCTGCAATTGAATTAGCTCTATCACCCTTCACTGTTAATCGTGACCTAGGGACAATTCATTGTAAGCTCTGTGATGACCTTGATGGTCTAGATTATTGTTGTCAGAAATATAGAGTGGCGCCAAACCAAACAAGCCCTTAAAAAAATATTACACTTTAAACTGCATCCTGTATGAAACTATAAGCCAGAACAAAGCTAGTACAGGAAGTAATAGAATCACATTTCCTGGTTCCAGTCAAAAGCCTAGCAACAACATTTTGAATCAGCTGAAGGCATGAGATGGAAGATTGAGTAACTCCCATATAAAGTGCATTGCAATAGTCAAGTCTAGATTAAATTAAAGTATGTATTACAGTCTCAAAATCATTAAAAGTTTCAAATGTTTTTAATTTGTCAAAATTCATAAATTAGAAGATAAAAGCTGCCCTCGGCTACAAGATTAATTTGACTTTCAAGTTTGAAAGCCAAATGAAAAATGGCATTTAGATGTCTGGCTTGTGATTGTAAGTTACAAAGATACATTTCCCATGTTACTATTTACCATAGTAATAGAGTCACGGGGGCCATCTTTGATTTATTTTACTGGAGAAAATTAGCCACGGTCCATCTTTTAATATACCAAAGACAGACAAAAAGATACTGTAAGGCAGAGCCAGCATTATGTCACACTCCAAGCTAATGCTGAAGATAGGAGATGTTATATTTTTGAAAAATAGCCCCCAAAAAGTAAATCATGTACAAAGAAAAAGAAAATAGGGCATAAAATAGAGCTTTGAGGTACTCCACCAGCGATAGGAGCAGAAGACAAGGAGAAATTCCCAATTTCATGACGTACATTACAACATTTGGCAGAAGCCCTTATTCAGAGCAACATACAATTATCTCATTTATAGATCTGAGCACTTGAGGGTTAAGGGCCTTGCTCAAGGGCCCAACAGTGGCAGCTTGGCAGTGTTGGGATTTGAACTCACAACCTTTCAATCAAAATTTCAACGTCTTAACCACTGAGCTACCACTCCTCTTTCAACTAAGAAAGATCTGTCCTTCAGCTTAGAAGCAAACCAATAAAGTGCACTGCCTTGAATACCATCCAGCTGCCATAAACGCTTCAGAAGAATGGTATGTTTGGTATCAAAGGCTGTGCTAAAATCTAGCAAAACTAGATTAGCACGCTTCCACGAGTCCACAGATACAAATACACCATTTGTCACTTTCAAGAGAGCAGACTTAGTACTGTCTTGTTCTGAAATCAAGCTGATATTTGTCTAATACGTGATTGTTAATGTAAAAATGAGACAATTTGGTGAAAGACAACCTTCTCCAAAAAAAGTTTAGAAAAAGGTCATTGTGACATGGTCGATAATTAGTTAAATCCAAAGGCAACGCAACATTTGCATGTACATCAACAAACCACTGAAGCAGCCATAAAATGGAAAGCTGTACAAAGGAAACGTTTACAATGGCTTGTATATTAATTCATCAGAAATGTGTGCTGAGGTATGAGTATGACTATATTTGCAGAACTTCATGGAAATTTGTAGGTTTTTTTTTTTTTTTATCTCACTTCAATGTTACTACAGAGATTTCCTGAGAATGAAGGACATTGCAGAAGATAACCAGATCAACTCAGGAATTGTAACAATAATTTAGTAGGATTATAATTAATTTTAAAACTATAATTATAATTAATTTTTTTGATTAAAAAATTAAACAGAGGTTTTTTAACCTACTGACCTGATTTTCAAGTTACAGTACACATGTCATGTTTGAAGGTAGGGTTCAGAAGCAATCGCAGATACAGAACGTTTTATTAAACAATCAAACAACAAAACAAAGACATTAAGACAACTAACCAAAATACTGTGGCATGAAACAAAACACAGGAACATGGAACACGGTAGTCTAAGAAAAACGAAAGACAAAGAAGCAGTGCAAACAGTTACTATATATAGTATACTCAATAACAGAACCGTGATTCAGGTGCAGGTGGTCATGTGACCTGTCATAGTCTGGTGCAGTGGCTGATGGGAACTGAAGTCCAGAGTTACCTCTTTGATATATGACAACACATATAAAATAAAAAAATAAAACGGAGAATAATGAGAAAAACATTGGAACATGAATAAAATCAGCCATTTAGACTTCCAATCAATTACAGCTAATCTTATGCTATAAAATTTGGAAATAAGTTTATGCAAGGCTTAATATTTGTCTATTTTTATAAATTAATTAATTTATTTGTTTGTTTATTATTTTTTAATGAAACTACTCTTTGAATTTCAGCTATGATACACTTGATACATTTTTAGTGTAAGGACAAGGAAATGCATGAATAAATAAACAAACACAAAAACGATTAAATTAAAGGAAGGACCATGCAAATTTTCATGATAATTACCAGAAAAAAAATAAATAAAAATCTAGAGAACTGTGAAATAAATAAATAAATAAATACGTACCTTGTGAATAATTTATCATTTATACAAATAAATGGTAAATTAAATTATAAAATAAATATTATTTAAAAAATGAGTTAATAAATGAATTAAAATTATTGTTATTTTAAAATATGTATATATGTTAATTTATCTATTAGGCCATTTATTTATATTTGAGTTATTTTTTCCCTGAACAAACACATGCACATGCTATTACCTGTGCATTGCACGGTATATTCTTTCTTTATTTATTTATTAGTTATTTATTTAATTTAACTTGAAAACTCTTGGGCATGAATTACTCACAGACAGTAAACAGGAAATGACATTTTCAAATTCATTGCAAAAGGTATACATACAAAATATAGAACAATATATAGTTTTGTGATATGAAAATTAATAATCGACTAGATAGCCATTTATTTCAGCGAGCAGTGTATATATTGTAGGTAGGCGATGTCATGGTGAAGTTCAGAACGTTTTCATATTCAGGTAGCGTGTGTGTACTGGCAGGACAAGGATTATGGGAGAAGGAGTTCTGGTTCTCAAATGAATTGCCTTCAGAGTCAGAAGCCTTGAAGTGGAAACAGACAAGGTTATTCAAAATATTCTCACGATTTGTCAATTCTACAGAACTCTTTTCTTGGTCGCTCACCTTTGGTCTTCCTGGGCAACACCGCAACATCACAGAAGTCTCTGAAATGCAAGACGCTTGTACTTAATATCAGAAAAAATGCTAATGTTTTTTCTCTTATTAGTCATTACACATAAAAAAACCCATTTGATCCTGCTGAATTCTGGATTGTGATTGGTCAGACGGTGTTGATTAGTTTTGTATAACAGCGGCTCAGACAGTAGCGTAGGTTTATATTAAGAGAATAAAGAGAGAATAAAGAGAGGACTGGTGACAGAACGACTGTCTATAGCTGCACTAAAGTAAAATGAGAATAGAACTGACTTGACTCATTGACTTTCCACAACATTAAATGTAACTGTAAATGGATTTAAAAAAAATATGCTGTATCATTCTTTAATAATTCAAAATTGTTATTGATGCAAATAGCTGTAGTATAAGAGGAATAAAGCACTCAGGGATGTGACATTATTGGAAGATCTCAGGGCGGTAACAGTAACTCCACTCCATCACTCAGTATTTTACTGTAACAGCATGAACCACCCAGTGGTAAAGTACACGTCTGTGTGTGTGTGTGTGTGTGTGTGTGTGTGTGTGTGTGTGTGTGTGTGTGTGTGTGTGTGTCTTACCCTTATAACACAATGTTAAAAACACCAGAATCCACACCAGTGAAGTGAGCAGTAAAACCCCCACAGACACATAGAGGTAAAGTCGCCAATCTGACAAAACAAACACATGATTTCTCTTCTCTGTGTCATCATGGTGTCTTACATGATATGACATGCTCTGTAGAATGCACTCTCTTAGCTCAACTTGCTAAGCAAAACCACAACTTCCTGAAGAAAGCCTTGACAGAAAGAACTCTTCCTCGATCTGTGTAAACCTCCTTTAAGGCTACTGTAGACTGACTGAGGCCTCGCAGTAAGGTTCTATATGTATCTTCTGTCTTTTTAGCAAAAAAACAAAAACCCACAAAAATCTTTCAGTATAAGGCCGTGGATTTTGCTACTTGTAATGATTTTACATTAAATTAAATAGATTTTTTTTTTATGCATACAGGCTATGCAACGTGTAATGCTATCTTGTTAAACTTGTTGTAGAGTAAGATTTTAGTGACACAGGCAAAGATTGAATAATGTTGTGAGTTTGTGGCGGGGGAGTCAAAAAGCCCAAAGACAACAAACGTTAACACCTCTCACCTGTTGTTTTGCTGTTGTTGTTGTCAGTTGACTGATTTGTTGCTATAGTAACTGAGGCAGAAAGAAAAATAATATTTCACTTAAAACAGATTTAAATCACTTTCACCAGCATTTTCTGTACCGCTTATTCAATACAGGGTCATGGGAGAGCCGGGAGCCTATCCCAGGGGAAGGAGGCAAGGGGGACGCTCTGAACTGGGTGCCAACTCATCGCATACAATTTGGACACACCAATCAACACATGTCTTTGGACTGGGGAGGAAACCAGAGGAAGCAGAGGAAACCATTGAAGCATGCAGAGAACATACAAACTCAAACCCCCAACCCCAGAGGCATGAAGCAAACATGTTAACCACTAAATAGTCTTTCCCTCACCAGCTTCTCTCACCATATGAGAGTGCCTGTGAATGAGCCGTTGTTATAGAAACGATAACATGTAAAAGTGCGTACCTGTTGCATATGTGGCATTGGATGTTATTGAAGTACTTCCCAGATAACTAGTAGTACTTGGAGAATAAACATGAGTTCCTGTGCTCGGTGGTGGAGAACTCGGCAGCGCTGTGATGGGGGAAAAACAAGTGATTGACGTTACAGTTTTTTAGTTTTAGTTTTAGTAATTTAGTTACTTCTCTACAACGTTAAAACCGTACCCTCAAGAACTCTAAGGATGACCTCAGTGTACGTGTCACCAAACATTCTGTCTACTGCACACCAGTATTTCCCAGAGTCCGTCTTTTTGAGGTCAGTAATAGTCACAGTGAAGACGTTCCCTCTGTCCTGTATCTGATATCTCACATGAAGACGTTCGACTGAGTCAACGACAACATCCTTATCTTCTTTACACGGGTCTTTACAGAAGTACTTCCTGTTACTGTTTGCCCACGAATGAGAGCACTGTATTGTGACTGACTGTCCTTCATATCCATTCATTTTAATCGCAGATGTCACGAAGCTTCGCGCTGTCGAACAGATCATAATTTATTTAAAGTTTGGAGTGTCTTATATTTTCTTACATTTTATGTAATAAAAAGGTGCAACTCACCCGAGAGAAGGACACAAATAACACCGAGAAGGAGCTCCATTATCATCCGAAATGATCCGCTTCCTTTTAAAGCTCATCTGAGATCAGCTGTTAGAGACACTTACGAAGTCCAGAGGTGTGGAAATGATCATCGCTCAAGATGAACAAGTCACACACTGTGGTTCAGTTCAAGGAAGTGAAGATGTCACTCTGCCCTAACCACACTCACACTCACACACACACACACACACACACACACTCACACTCTCACACACACACACACACACACACACACACACACACACACACACACACACACACACACACACACACACACACACACACACTCACACTCACACACACACACACACACACACACACACTCACACCTCACACTCACACTCTCACACACACACACACACACTCACACCTCACACACACACACACACACACTCACACACCCACACACACACACACACACACACACTCACACTCACACTCTCACACACACACACACACACTAACACACACACACACACTCACACTCCTCTCACACACACACACACACAACACACACACACACACACACACACTCACACTCACTCTCACACACACTAACACACACACACACACCACACACTCACACACACACACACACACCACACACACACAAAAAAAAAAAAAAAAAAAAAAAAAAAAAAAAAAACATAAAAAAAAAACATTAATA